GGGTTAAATACAACCCAGTGCTGGGTAAAATAGGGACAAACCCAGCAATTGGGTTGTTTTGACCCAGCGATTGGGTTACTACCCAGAAGGTTGGGTTAAACATTTAACCCAACCGCTGGGTCAAAACAGCCCAATTGCTGGGTTTGTCCCTATTTTACCCAGCACTGGGTTGTATTTAACCCTGCATTTTTTAGAGTGCACAAAGAAAAGAAAAAAATAAGTTCTTTTAGGAACTGCTCAATTAAAGATTCTTTGGCATTGCTGTGAAAAACTCCTTTTGGAACTTTATTTTTTTATGTTTTTTTCCACTATAAAGAACCTTTTGTGGAGCTGAAAGATTCCATGGGTGTTTAAGGTTCTTCATCAATGCCAAAAAAATAACCTTTATTTTTAAGTGCAGTTACCTGCACTTTTGTCCTCCAGCCACAAGCGCAGCCGAACATTTCTGAGTTTAAAGTCCAGGTCAGGGAAATAAACTCAAGGCCCAGACATGCCCTAGAAGATAAAACATGTCAGTTTTTTAAAGACCTGCTTTTCGCTATCGCTGCAAGAGTTACTAGTTTCCCCACAGCAGCATCCTGCTCCCACCAGATAAGTTTCTTAATAACTTTTGATTACCCATAATTAAGTGCTTTGGCACAGTACGACATGCTGAAGGCGACTCTTCACATTACCTTCAAAGTTCATCTGCATCATTTTAGAAAAATGTGTTCTTAGGGCTTTTACTGATGCTGGGATATTTCTCATGTTGTATTGGATAGTTTTCTCTGATTCATTAGTTAATGCTGTCAAATAACTCTTGCCCCAATGTACATTTTCTGATGAGAGATTTTCCTGCTATCAGAGAAATTCAATTGAAAAGCAACAAGATGGAATGCATGCGTACATAATCCAACAAATAAAAAATAATCACATTTGTAAACACCCCTAAGTCTAAAGTCTAGTAAAATGGATTACTGTAGACTTTAAATTGTATTTGACTTCTAAAGCCACGTTTTGTTTATCCAGTTGTTTAATCGCCTGCAACAATAATGGTATGTCTTTGAATTATATTTAGTTGGTGGTTTTTCTCAGCAAATATTGTTTAAAAGTTTGGGGTTAGGGAAAAAAAGTATCGTATGGTCACCAAGGGTGCATTTATTTGATCAAACAGACAGTATAAACAACAATGTTTATGAAATATTATTGCAATTTAAAATAATCTTCTGTTTGAATTAGTGCTGTCAAATGATTAATCGCGATTAATCGCATCCCAAATAAAAGTATTTGTTTACATAATATATGTATGTGTACTATGTATATTTATTATGTATATAAATACACACACATGCATGTATATATTTAAGAAAAATAAATGATGTTTATATTTTAAATATATTTATATATCATATAAATTATATGAATATAAATACATACATGTAAATATTTTCGAAATATATACATGTATCTGTGTGTATTTATATATACATAATAAATATACACAGTACACACACACATATAGTATATTATGTAAACAAAGACTTATTTTGGATGCGATTAATCGCAGACTTTAAATTGTATTTGACTTCTAAAGCCACGTTTTGTTTATCCAGTTGTTTAATCGCCTGCAACAATAATGGTATGTCTTTGAATTATATTCAGTTGGTGGTTTTTCTCAGCAAATATTGTTTAAAAGTTTGGGGTTAGGGAAAAAAAGTATCGTATGGTCACCAAGGGTGCATTTATTTGATCAAACAGACAGTATAAACAACAATGTTTATGAAATATTATTGCAATTTAAAATAATCTTCTGTTTGAATTAGTGCTGTCAAATGATTAATCGCGATTAATCGCATCCCAAATAAAAGTATTTGTTTACATAATATATGTATGTGTACTATGTATATTTATTATGTATATAAATACACACACATGCATGTATATATTTAAGAAAAATAAATGATGTTTATATTTTAAATATATTTATATATCATATAAATTATATGAATATAAATACATACATGTAAATATTTTCGAAATATATACATGTATCTGTGTGTATTTATATATACATAATAAACATACACAGTACACACTCAAATACTATGTAAACAAAAACTTATTTTGGATGCGATTAATCGCTATTAATCGTTTAAAAAACTCCTTTAAAAAACTGACCCCGAACTTTTGAATATGCAATATTATTTGAATAATGAATTGTTATATGATGTTATTAATTACAATTTTGACTTGATTGCTAAACCCAAAAAAGAAATAATGCCTTATTTATAATTGTATTATTGCAAATAAATGAATATGCATTTTATTCTTTCAGATTTTACAGAAAGACGAAGTTGAGTGGATTCCAGGATATGGAGTGTATCCCGTGTGGAGATCCGCCACCACCGTATGAACCACACTGTAAGCTCATTTATGTATTACCGC